AATTTCTTGTTGAGGCCATGAAAACTTTGGCAGCCTGTATTAGGACATCCTCCTTTATATGGCATGTCCTTGTTCTCTCTGGCTTTAATCCTGCCTTTCTTCCCCTTATTACTGGGTCTGAGTCTGACAGATACCACTTAAGACCTGTAGGTCAGAGGAGTAGAGAAAGAAAGAAAAAGTCTCTGTGGGCAGACCGTTTAACTCTCCCCTCATTCCTGTGGCTTGATGAGGCAATAGTTGGACAGGTGCATAGGCTGAACCTCCAGTCCCCAAAACAGACCTTGCCCCCAAACATACACTGCAAAAAATTAAGTCTGTGGTATGTCTTCTATTATTTGTGGGACCCATGACAACCTGAGAGAGACCCATTGGGGCCAGCAAGGCTACGAAATCCTGAGCCAGCCCAAACAATGATCACACCGGGATGGCAGAACCTGTAATTGCTGAACCTTCTTTTGCTATCTGGCTACTAAAAGCCCAGAAAAGGACAGAAGTGTTGGTTGCCTCTTAAAAATTGCCTCTTAAAAATTGCAAAGGACACTGCTGTCCACATTTCACATATGAGAATGGGATTTACAGTAAGGAAACCTGATTTTTTTTTTTTTGTGGCACAAAAATTTAAACTCAGGCCTCAAAGTGGATTAAATTCTGGTAATTTTAAATAAAGTTGCTTGACTTGCAGGCTTCTTTATTGAATCACTTTCTGCAGAAGAAATGGTGTGGTAGAAGCGAACTGAAGAGCCATTTCACAAATTATACAGGGCAAACCTGGGCTTGCTACCAAGTAGGGATGCCAGCCTCCAGGTGGGGATCTCCTGGAGTTACAGCTCATCGCCAGACTACAAAGATCAGTTTCCCTGGAGAAAATTGATGCCTTGGAAGGTGGACTCTATGCCATGGCATTATACTCTGCTGAGGTTGCTCCCCTCCCCCTCCCCCAACCTCCATAGGCTCCACCCCCAAATCTCCAGGAATGTCCTGGGGAGGGAATCTGGCAACCCTACCACCAAGTTTATACTTGGCAGGGAGCAGTGGCTAATTCTGGCTCCTTGATGAGTGTATTGTTGGGAACAAGGCAGACAAGGGACAGAGTTCTGTGTTTAGACCTCCCAGGCAGTGTTCCCTCTAAGCTGAGTTAGGGGGAGCTAGCTCACAGGTTTTTAGTCTCCGGCTCATGCATTTTTGTCTTAGCTCAGGGAGGAGGGCTCCAGAGCAAACTAATTTCTGCAGTGGCCAAATGGCTCGCTCACAACTTCCATGCCAGTAGCTCACCAAGTAGAACTTTTGCTCACAAGACTCCATAGCTTAGAGGGAGCATTGCTCCCAGGTGGTTTATGGGACAAAGACTGTGGCGTGGGGGAGCAATTAAGCCTTCCCTCCCATGCCATTTTTCTGATATGAAACAGCACAACTGCCCTGCTGTTTGCTTCACTGGGACAAACAAACAATCCCCAAGTCCTTTGCATAGAATTTCCTGCATCCCACCTGGGTTGGTCTTAGATCCTCATGAAATGGGTCCAAAGTACCTCCAGCGGAGTGAAGCTGGCAGAACGGGACTTCCCAAAATGTGATTGTTTCATTTACAATTTATCGGTTGGGATGGATCCTACAGATTTTTTGTTTGCCAGTGCAAACAAAGTGGAGGGGGTACAATTTTTGGCGGTTCTCCCGTCCCCCTGCAGACCCCCCCCCCAAGCACACACATTTAGTAGTGCCAGTTAGATGAATTATAGATTCTGGACCTAACAGTCTTATGCCCCACCCACCCCATGAAAAATGTGAAGCTACGGCTAGCTTTTGGGTCCCTTGTGTTAAGCCTGCAAGCTGCAGCCCTGAACCTCTGCCCCAAAGTCCAGCCTTGACAGCACCACCAGCCCAGACATTCCCCCCCAGCACTACTCTT